TGAGGAATTGGCTATGGCAGCAAAAAGAGCATCCAGGGCTCAGGAACAGGCACAGTGCATGCTGCCAAATTCAAGTCCTGCTGTGTGCTTCATGCCAGCTCTGTGAAACGCCTGGAGAAGCCAGGAAACAGATGGAGTCAGGGTAGGGGAAAATGCATGGGGTATGTACTTAATTAGCCTCTCCTGATCTGGCTCCATCCATGGCTCAGAAAAAATTGCTGAAATATGAAATGCTGGAAAAAGACAACTGGAGAAAGAACTATCAACTAATTACAGACTCCCTCCAGAGAAAACTAGAAGCTCTGATTGTCTTTCCCTTCCCTTCCATTTCTGATTCTCCTAGCCCTATAGCAGATACACAGGCTGCTGAACTGGCAGCACTGGACATTTCATTACTGATGTAGAGAGTGAACACTAAGAATCAAAAGGATTTATTTCTTCACTCACTTTGCCCTTCTGATATCAATTGTCCCTTTCAGCTTTTCCTCGCTATCATTCTCAAAGTACATCAGCTTGGATTCTCGAAGCACAAACCAACGGCGTTTCCAGTTGCGGCGTGAAAGTGTAGACATGCCTCCACCTTTTTTGTAGAGCCAGCCTGACTTTAGTGCCTCTTGCTTGGTGCGGAACCACATGAAGGCCTCGTTCTTCAGAACACACCAGCGCCGCCTCCATGGGTTCATGAGACCTCCTGCAAAGTGAGGGAGCAAGATTTCATCAGACGTGCAACAAGATCGGTGTTTCCATACTGATTCTGCTTCCTGGACAACTTACTTGACACAGTTCCTACATGGAACAAAGGAACCAAGGGAGAGAAACAAGGTTATGTTTCAGTTTGGATAGAGAAAAAACAGAACAAACTAGTGAAACAAGCACAAACTATGGAAACATGCACTACGCAAATATTTTGTATTGTGTGTAGTTTCATAGCTCAGAATGAGTCATTTAAACCCATACCAAGTGGGCACAATGAGGTCTCAGTGGCAAAGATATCCAGTCAAATTCCCTGACATCCACCTCCTAGCTCTTCATTTTAAATAAAAGAAGAAGAAAAAAATGAGAATAAACAGAGAACTAAGAGCAGGTGAAAAAGATCACTTTGGAAAAACAGAAGAGGAAAGTCAATTTCCTGGATTCCATCCTTCCATGGTTTTGGCTAACATTGCTTACCCTTCATGTAGAGATAGCTGTGAAAATAGGGTGGTCCTGAGCCATTAAAGATAGTGACTCGTCCATTACAAAACTCTTCATCTGTATCAATGTAAACATCCACTTCTTCTTCACTGTCCAGAAACTAAAAGGAAAAGAAAAGATTGGGGCTTTAAGCAGCCTGATCTAGTGGGAGGTGTCCCTGACCATGCAGGGGGGTTGAAACTAGATGATATTTAAGGTCCCTTCAAACCCGAACCATTCTATGAAATATAGGCTACTTAAGTTCTTCTGGTTGCAGGAATGGAGCAAAGTAACAAGCTTGAGAAGTCCCATGATCAGGAGGTGCAAAACTACACCTACTCCCTGTACAAAAAAAAGCAATACAGTAAAACTAGAGGCTTGACAGCTTACCCATTAATGCCTAAAGCAAGAGTCTCCAGAGCATGGAATTTTCATACCAGAAAGCAGAGTGACATTTGGCAGTGGCCATGGCTAGAAAACTCCAGTTCCCTGCAGTAACAAACTTTCCTGTTCCAAGGCAGAGGCCACAGTCCAAAATCTGATTTAATGGGATTAAGAGAGAATTTTTCATTTTGGAGGAGTTTTCTGATTTTTTTTGTTGGCAGACATGTCATGATTCTGGACAAGATGGAGCGCTAATCTAACCCCAGCAAGGAAATGTCTTGCTTTGAATTGATTAGGAAAAAAAACACATTCAAGAATAACTGCACCCTAAAAACAAAGATTTAAATTACTGAAATAATAGCACAGTATTTAGTCATCCCTATTCTCCAACTAGATAACAGCCCTCAGGCATAAGAAAGTACTTCAAATCCCAAATTACTCTATCATTTCCTTTACCTTAAATAGAACTTCAATTCATCAGCTTTATTGATTTAATACTAATTGGATATTAGGAAGAATTTCTGCACTGAAAGATAGTCAGGCACTGGAACAGCCTTGTCCAGTGAGGTGGCTGAGTCACCTTGGAGGTATCCAAGAAACATGTGGATGTAGCACTTCAGGGCGTGCTGTGGTGGCTGAGGTTGTAGGGGTTGGTTTTTTTTGGGAGGTGTTTTTTGGTGGAGTGTGTGTGTTTGTTTGTATTTGATTGGGGGTTTTTTTGTGTCAATGGTTGGACTCAGTGATCTCAAGAGGTCCTCTCCAACCATGATGATTCTGTGATTCTGCTGTCATTAAGTTTCAAAAAGCAGGTTACTCTGGGATCAGCAGCTACTTGACACAACTGCAGTTGCCTCTTACTGTGGCTCATATCATGATGTAGTATCAGCCAGACTTTTAATGTCTTGCTCACTGAGAAGCCAAATAAAATCCTCCACTTCTGTTTACATTTTAAGAAGAACAGTACAAACTGGCCTAGGCTGTGACAGAATTATTAATGACTTGAACATTACCTGACAGTGATCTGTGAGTACCTGTCCACAGAGAAGGGACCTTTACTCAAGCAGATCACATCATAAAATATTCTGATGGCTGGCAGCTGACAGTAGGGAAGTGTGAGCAAGAAAAACTATGCAACTTCTTAAGAAGGACAATAATATGCCATTGGAAAAGAAAAGCAAAGGTAGTAAAATTAATTCCTTTCAAAAAAAAAAAAAATCAGTCCTTTTCTAAAAGATATTTTTTAGTTCAACTCTCTACTCTCAGGGACATAATTTATGTAAAGTATTTTTATTGCTGTCATTGGCTTCACACCTGAACTCCTCACCATCTTATGTGGGCTTATCTGACATCCAGTCCTGTCAGCAGATTTATTGTTTCATTATTAAGCAACTACCCTGAGGGCACTCAGGAAGTCCAGAGCCTAGTGAGGAATCTAAGCTGAGGTGTTTCAAGTGTGAGACTTAATAGCCCAGCTTTACTTCCCAGTCATTGTCCCTGCGGTAGGAATGAAAAGGTTCAGTGGTCTTGGTCGTGTGCACCAGGACCCAGCCTGGATCTGTACAGTGATTTCTTCAAGCCTTCAAACAACTTGTACACAGCACCTGAAAATAATCCCTTGCCTCTGAACAGTGACAGGACTAGAACAAGAGAAATTTTAATGATGGAATCAAATCAAATCCCAGCCTTTCTCCTTTCCTCTTGTCATTGTCCACTAGAAACTCAGGCTACTTTTGTAGAAATTTCTCAGAGGCAGAACATACACCTACAACATACTAGTTGCCTGCTTTCAGTCTTCCTACTGGGCGTTGCGTTAATATATGGTGATGGAATCCATCTAAAATAGCCTAGGTACAAATGTGCTAGCTTCTGCACCAGGAACACTTGACAGTCACAAGCCCTCTGGCCTTCCGCCTATCTATGACTCTTCCCTTTTTATCAAGCTGATTATTGATGTAACAGGCAGTTATATATTAGTAACAATAACCAGAGCAAGCAGGCACGCAGTAAGAAAACAAGGATGTTATAAATATCAACAAAGTCAGACTAATGTCTGGAAAGGTGAAGGGAGGGATTCTTACCGAGTCCAGGCTGCCACGGTTGGAGTCCAAGCTGGTCCCATGCGAGTGTCTCAGACCTTCGTCGCCATTCAGGGGCTCAGCAGAGGCACTACCTGCATCTCCACAGCCATCAAACTCCTCGTGGTCATAGTCAGACTCCACATCAGGGGGAGAAGTGTAGATTGGCTCTCCCACCTCTCCGCTGTTACTCTTCTGTGTATCTGAGACAGCATTGTAAATGCTTTCTGCTGGGTCAGACACGGCTCTCTGCTCCTTGGGGCTAGTGGTTCCTTCCACAGCATGTCCTGGAGCAGGGACAACCTCTCCCACTTCCATCTGGAGAAGTGAAAGTCTTGTGTCCACACCTTTCTCTGTGTAGTTACCACTGTTTCTTGTGCTGTGCTGATTCAAGACCACTGAGCTGGAAGTTGGCCGTCCTTCGTCATCAGCATGGAAACCCTCATCCACTTCTTCTTCAGCTAGTGGTGCCACCAGGCTGCAGTCAATGTTGAGCGTCCCCTCACTAGAAAGTGAGCGTTCTAAATTCTGCACACTTTCGTCCAGATTGCCAAAATCCAACAGCTCCAAGAACTCCTGGGCAACCCTAGATGCCTCCTTTTCCAGCCTTTGGATCTCCTCTTCTCGCTGCCGATTGATTTCATTCCTGGTGCTTTCACAGATTATAGACATGTGATCCTCTTTCTGTTGCTGCAACTTCTCAATCTCTTTCTCCAGTCTTAAGATCTCCTCCATCTGACGTCTCTCTTCTTCTTGCAGGGGAATATCTACCTCCTCAGTCTTGACTGCTTCCACCTTAAAAAAAAATTGTAATGGCGTTAAAGCACCTTCTTCAACTTGTATGTGTTCCTTGCCTGGAACTTTCATTCTTGCCACCTCCTGTGCTTGCCTTGTACTTCCCAACTGCAAAAACACAGCTCTAAGCATCCTCTCCTTTTCTGATCAGCATCTGCACTCATCCAGGGTGTAAAAGCAAAAAGTAGAACTATGGAGTCTTCAGGTGCCTCCTTTCTTCCAGCAGCCGATCTCCTTTTGGAATCATATGAAGTACCTGACTGGGATCAGGATCCACCTGAGTGGATTTTTAGAAGATCGTGTCTCTCTGCTGTTCATGTTACAGCCCTCTGTACACTACAATTTCTGTAAAAGCATTCGGAAAGTTTGTCCTCTCTTTTTTAACTATCTCTCACACATATAGAAGAAAGGAATATATACAAGTATATATATGCATAGCCTGCTTAAGCTGAAATTTCCCCAGAAATTCATTACAACATTTGAGGATTTTGTCGCTTCCTGAGCTGGGGGTCTGACCATCAGAATCTAGATCTGGTGGGGATATTTGCCACGAAGCAGGACTGCATCCACTCTAACCCCACCAAAACTCCACCCAGAATTTCTTGGCATTCTTTAGCATCACTGGATGGATGACAGTTGGCTGGATGATAAAAGGACACTGTCTTCCTCTATTCTCCCCACTTAAAGTAACAGATTTCGAGCAAGTACACAATAATCAGAAGACAGAAGATACTGGTAACTCTCACTGATGTTTAGCTATAAGATAAAGCACCCTCCCCTCCACAGAGGATGTTGAAAACATGCACACACAAGAAAAAGCAAAAATAAATTCTAAAAGGATTTAATGTACTTCCTGATAAGAGTATGCCAACGAACTGGTCCACTTACGCCACAACCCTTGTTTTCTTTACAGTTACCCTGTTGCTTTTTATCTACTTGACTCTTGTGGACAATTGCATTTTCATACTCTAATCTGTCATCTCTCCTGAAATGAGGTGGCCTGAAACTGGGAAATAAGTGGCTTGGGAAGAGAAATAAGAAGACAGACAGCTGTTTTCACACACCTCAGGGTAGGTGGTCTGCTCTTTGATATATCAAGTACCAACAAACAATAAGATCAGTTACAGGGGGTTTATTTTAGTCATGGTAGCAGCCGTCTGCACTCTTATTTTTGCTGTTACAGGCAACAATCCAGCACAATAGACTGTGTCACAGAGTAACACAACACAAGGTCATGTAATAATAGAGATAAAAAAGGATGTGGCATGTTCAATACAAAAATTTTCAGATAGGAACTATGCAAGCTGGTACATGAGCCTTAAAAGAAAAACAACCAACCACATCTATGCACCTCTGCCAAAGCCAAACACCTGCAGGTTTTGAGTGAACAAAGTCCATTTTTAGCGTTGCCACAATAACAATATGAGCTCAAGGCGAAGCTTAGGCAATGAAGGACCCTTCACAGATATTCAGAGAAGACATGTTTAAAGAATAACTATTAAACTTACCTGAACCACCTGGTGTAGCGCATTCAGTTGCTCCTTTTCTCTGTTAAAAACCAAGACATGATAATCAGGCAAACCCAGCTCACCTACATGAGGCTTTTAGAATTACATGGGCACATCATCCCTCTATGGATAAGGTTAAAATAAGGTACCTGTTGTAAGACTGATTTGAAAGCTTTTGTCATTTAGTGAAAAACCAATTATCTGTTTGTTGGCATGACCTTTGTGGGTACAACAGATTTCCCCATGCACTTAACTTTCAGATCAATCAGGAAATAGGATTAGCTGGAACATACTAGGAAGGACACTGAAAACAGTGACAGAAAGGCAGATCAGTTAGACTCATGATGAATGTAAACAGAATCTTCTGAAGAACTTTATATCTATGGATCTTAAATGAGTTTATACATGCATAATTACACATGTTGGGAAACTGTGTTTGTTGGTTTGTTTTTTTCAAACAGACCAGAATTGATTGCAATACCAGCATCTAAACTGTGTTTTGTTTTGCTTTTACTTTATCAAAGCCCCCCCAAAATTACCAAATTTGTGTACTTTGTTAAATGACAAAGCTGAGGACTTTCTATTCTGAAGACCTGGGTACTCCAGCTTGCACAACTTCCCAGTGGCATGCAAAACTTAAGTTTACTAATAAAGGCTGTAAGAGACAGAGTTTGTTAGTAAACACGAGTAAAGGACAAAATCTATCCCACAGTGCTGCATCTCCACTCGGATCAAAAAGGTGGTACTCCAAGGGAAAGCTTGGAGTCACTGTGGCTAGTTTCTCCATAGCAAACAGGGTACAAATAACTGAGCTAGAAGGCAGGGATAGGAAGTGGCTGGATGGAATACTAGCAACCACTGTGCAGCTAAATTCAGACGAGCAGTGGTAACTTTCAATTTTATGATTCAACCTCAAGCAGAAGGGCAACAATATTTATTTCCCAGGCCCTGAAGCTCTTCCCAGCCAAATTCCAAATAGCAGTTGCAAGTCACAAAGTCCTTACAGCTCTCCCTTGTGCATGCTCTCTCTCTCAAAAATAATAATAATAATAAAAAAAAAAATCCAGGAAATGTTTGTAAATGAAAGCTGATGTAATTGAGATCCAGATGGTTCAAGTTCTACTGAAAGATCTCTAATAGGAGTAATGAATTAAACAACTGCCTTAAATGGTAGGAGGAGTCAAGAAGAAAAGCTGTTTTAAAACAAATCTGGAATACCACCTACAATCTGCACACTAATCCCTGTAACTGTTCCTCACAGATTTTAGACCTCTGAT